GACTTATCCACCAATCAAGTGTGATCTGCTCATATTAAAAAATTGAACTAGGGATTTCTCTTTTTTAAAGATTCATTTATTTATGCATACAAGAGCTGGGGTATAGGCCAGAGGTGTAGAGAGGTGAAGAGGATTCACCAGAGACAGAGCGGGGAACAGAACAGGTAGACTGACTGAAATACACTGCTGAGGGGAGCAGTGGGCAAGACAGGAGAGGGCTGCTGGGCCATGTGGGTTAAGTCCTTGGCCAAGGATTGAACTCATGCTGCAGGGGCTGCCTATGGCTTCACAGTGCTAAGACTTAACCCCTTGTGCCAGTAGGGAAGCCCACAAATGCTTTATCTTAATGTTATATATGATATGGTCTGTGTTATTAGGGAGCTACACTTGTCCTTGTGTCTATAAATGAGGGAGAAAATTCTCTCATTAATCTCTTTACCTCATTTGGACTGAATTCCTCTTCTTAAATATAATGGAGATCAAGAAAAGTCAAAATATAAACAGAGGGAAATATCCAGAAGAAGAATGTGAAGAGGAAGGGGAAAGGGAAGAAGATGAAGAATTTAAAACATATCAGCATGGAGGGAAAATCATAAGAAAACTGGTTTGGAGAAAAGATCCAAACAAAAATGTTTTCCTTTCAGAACATTAACTTCTTTTATCGTTTATCCCGAACTATTATGCCATCTGTGTTAGAAGAATTGTGTTTGTCTCAAAAATATCCTGTGGGAGGGCCTCCATGGTAGCCTAGGTGTTAAGTGTCAGCACTACCACCATGAAGGCCCACCGTGACAGTCAGTGTTCAATTCCTGGCCAGAGAGCTAACCCACCTGGTGCAGGAGAGCTAACCCACGTGGTGCAGCAGACCTCTCCTGTCTCACTGGCTGCTCCCCTTAGCAGTGTATTTCAGTCAGTCTGTCTGTTCTGTTCCCCACTCTGTCTCTGGTGAATCCTCTCACACTCCCCAACTCTGGCCTATACTCCAGTTCATCTATGCAAAATAATAATAATAAACTTTAAAAAAATTCCTGTGGTATGAAATAGAGCAAGCATTTTTTTTTCTACATTAAAAAGGAAAGAGAGCAAGAAACATGATAAAGGGCTATCCAGAGGAATCAGGTGAAACAGAGGGAGCATTGTTCATCATCCAGATATTGCATGATCAGGACACTGAACATTCTTGAAATTTAGATGTTGAAATTTTGGGAGTAAAATAGTGTAAAGTGAGATCAGAAAGAAATAAGTGAAATCAGTTTCAAACCAAGTGCTATCCATCACTTCATGCCCACTGAAAAGAAAATTTATATCACAAACTTAGCCGACAGCAAGAGTGTCCTGAGTGACGTGGTTAAAGAATCACATCTCAGGTTGTCTAAATCAGAAGATTTGTTTCAAATTGGCAAATGGGCAGTGACACAGAATCTGACTTTCTGTGAAGCAGCACGGGAAGCTGGGAGGACAAGAAAGTTGGGTTTTGTTTCTTGTTTTTTTTTTTTTTTTCATTTTATTCCCAGTCTGTAAATTATTACTCATCAAAAGAACTAGAATAACAAACTTTGCTCTTACAGTTCTAGTGATCCAGAATGCATAACACAGAGGGTGTGGGAAGAAAATACTCAAGAACAAAGAGATTATTTAAAAAATTCTAAAAACTCCTAAAGGAAAATAAATCTATTCTTAATGAAATAATAACTTATTATAACAGAAAGTAATTGAAAAGCCCCATTATTAAACATCATAGTACTTTTGACTACTGCTAATCAAAATGCTGGGGAGCTGTGCAATTACTAATAAAGTCCTGATTATTACAAAGAGGAAACATCTATGGGATAATTTGAGAAGCACAATTTAGAAACTGTAGAACATATGTAACTATTGAAGATTATGATCTAGACTGTTTTCCACACTTGCTTCTTAAAGATTTCCCTCAATTGCTTAGCAGTATATGATTGAGATATTAATAACAAAATTCTAAATGTAGTACTCTAATAGAATATTGTATAGAATTATGATTCGTTTTTACTGTAAAGTATGTGTGATTCTCATATATGGAATTAGTAATTCTGGATTTATCATTTGTTGTTTGTTTAGTTTTCTTAAGCTCCCCACAAAATGATAGCCCTTCTCAACATGTTTAACTGAGGGAATCCCACCTTTCAATTGCAGCTAAAATCCTGCACTTGTAGTGGGTTAATTAGATAAGCAGCAGTTCTAATACAGAATGGTGTCTCAACTAAGATTGTTCCTAAGAAATTAAGATTGTGTTTGCAAGGTATCAAACTACTCGTAAATGTTTCAAATGCTGCCAGCCATTTCTTATGGAATCCATGAAGTAGGAATCCATGATGTTTCTTGACTAAACTATCTGTTTTCATGTCATATAAAAACATATTAGATATTTTTCTAGATACAGAGAATAAGTAGATTTTCCCTGTACACTCATGTATTTGATGGGCATATTAACTCTTCATTTTGAAATTGAAATTGATATAATATGATCATGGCATTAATCTTCTGGTCTGAAATTCAGGAGATCTGACAGAAGTTAGCCCAGAAGTTTACCCCATTCTTTGACTAGTGACTACTATTTTTTTTAAAGATTCATTTATTTATGCATACAAGAACTGGGGTACAGGCCAGAGGTGTGGGAGGTGAGAGGATTCACCAGAGACAGAGTGGGGAGCAGAACAGGTAGATCTACTGAAATACACTGCTGAGGGGAGCAGTGGGCAAGACAGGAGAGGTCTGCTGTGCCATGTTGTTTAGCTCCCTGGTTAGGAATCAAACGCGTGCTGCAGTGGCTGCAGATAGCTTCATAGTGCTGCATCTTAACAACTTGTGCCACCCTCGAGGCCCCTAGTGATTACTTTTCTGATATAACCTGAACTTATTTATTAGCCTCTCCATCTCTCCAAATCTTCTGCAGCTTTTAAGGGTAATTATGCCAGAGGCAGTCAGGTGATAGTAAATGCAATGATTGAAATACTTTAAAATCTCTTAAAAAATATGTGTTCAATAATTTTACATAATATACTTAACAAGCATACTGTGTGTATGTGTGTGTGTGTGTGTGGGGGGGATTAACACCACCTGGGAATGTATAGTTTACTACAGAACTTCTGAAGCAGAAGCTGCTTTTTTTTTTTTTTTTTTTTTTTTGTGGGGCCCTCGCGGGCGGCCGGGGAATGAACCAGCGTGGCAGAGGCTGCAGGCAGCCTCGCAGCCCAGCGCTCAACCGCTGCGCCACCAGGGGAGGCCCAGCAGAAGCTGCATTTTAACAATATCCACAGGTGATTCATATGTACTTTAAAATTTAAGAAGCTCTACTACTAAGTATGTTAGAATAAACCTTTCTCTTCATCACTGAACTAGCCTGAGGAAAATCATTCTTGTACATTAACTCTCCTGACCTAATTTGGAATTCAGACTAATTTCAGAAAAAATAACATCACTATGTTCTGATTGTTGGGGAATTCTCACAAAGAAGTCAGCTCCTTCATTTTCTTAAACAACAGTGGATGCTGACTATATGCCAGGAATTGAATTCATAATTAATTCTCATCAAAATGCTACTTTTCAGTTATAAAAATGTGTCCAAGTTGTCAGAGCTAGAAAGTGACTGAGTCATCGCACTGTGACATCCACTCAGTCATGGCCATGCTCGGATCCCCAATACCCAAGTAAAGCCCAAGGAGGGAAGCAGTTTGATTGGGAAAAATTTCAGATTACAAAGGCATTGTAGAGATGCTTCAATAGATGGAGACACTTAACTCTGTGTTCCTAAATCAATAATAAAAATAACTCTTGATATTTAAGTGAAATATTTCATATTTTCTTAGAGTCACACTTAGTGATCACAGCAATATAATGAAACTGTTTTAATGTACTCAGTATGCTGATAGACCCTACCTTACAAAAATAACTATGGGGGCCTCCCTGGTTAGTGCAAAGGGTTAAGTATCAGCACTATGAAGCTATCACAGCTACTGCAGCATGAGTTTGATCTCCAGCCAGGGAGGTAACCCACATGGCGCAGCAGACCTCTCCTACCTCACCCACTGCTCCCCTCAGCAGTATATTTCAGTCAATCTGCCTGTTCTGCTCCCCACTCTGTCTCTAGTGAATCCTCTCACAACCCCTCAGCCCCGCACCTCTGGCCCGCACCCCAGCTCTATTATGCATAAATAAATAAATCTTTTAAAAAAAAAGTATGAATTGAAATACATTGTGCTATGTAATAATCTAGCAACAGCCATGATAATTCACAGATGACTGAGCTTTAGAGCCAAACAAAACAACAGATGAAAAAAGGAATTGTTTATATATATGTGAACTGAGGTCTCATGGTTGCATAATCACATTTCTTATTGACAAATAACTAAGAAGCCAATATATTCATCAACTTAGGTAAAGGAAACCTGGAGCAACAGGGAGAATTGTGGATCTGTTTGTTTGCTTTGTTATTTTTTTTTTTCATTCTTATCTGTTCTCTCCCATTATTGTTTCTTGTTATTATGCCCTGAAAATAGGCAGTAGCTATTTAAATTTAACACAACAACGTTCCTATTTCTTGTAGCAGGGTAAAGTTTAGGGAGAGGTAAATAGGGATTTTTTCCTACCCAAACTATATTACAGATTAATAATTAAAAATACCTGTTTCTGTACATTCAATGTTCTACACCCAATGTCCCCTCTAACTCCAGGTGAAAATCCTGTTACATAAGTTATTATACAGTGAAGAGTCTACCTTTATCTATAAGAGAAGAGATACACAAATATGTCTTCAGTTCAGGAATACTGAAAAGGTTGTGAGTGACAGATCTGAAAGAAAACCATGTTAAGCCACTAAGTTTATTAGCAAGTTAAGTCTAACTTATACAATATGGAGAAGAGATTGCAACGAAAGGGAATAATATTACATAATCAAATTTGACATGCTTATTGAGGTAAAATTCATGTACATTTTTATAACAAATAATTGCTGTGATTTTTCTTTCCAGTGTGTATGTACAGAGAGCCATCACTACATGAAATTGGAGAAAAACAAGGGCGTTCAAGGAAAAGTTCTGGAACACCCACCATGAATGGAGGCAAAGTTGTGAATCAAGATTCAACATAGCTGAGAACTCTTCCCTTCGTCCCTTTATCACTCCTTCCCTTCTCTTCCCTCCCCTTTACCCATGTCCTTCCAATAAATCCACCCAAGGAGAGGAAAGTAAAATGGCATCGCAGGACCTAGTGGCTAAAATTCTGCACTAAAAATCTTCCTTTGTGTAGGACAAGACAATTGAACCAAGCTTGCCTGTTGCGATGTGGTAGAAAATGCACATGCACAATGATTAGCACATGTAAAAAGCAAGGGAAAATTAAACAAGACTTTACGAACACTAATCTGTGCTGTTATTAACAGAGGGCTACTTGTAATGAAGACATAACTATAATAAAGATAAATTAAATCATGACCTTAAAGAAAAGGCTTTTAGAGAATTGAACTTGCAAATCAATGTAATACCCTAAATAGTTTAGCTATGGGTAATTCTGAGATGTGTGTTTTGTTTTGATTTTGTGCTTTTGGGATCATCTGGAATTGACATAAGTAAATCCCTTTTCCTGGATCTTTTCACCATGATATTGAACATGTACGAGTGACGGATTCATCTAGTGCTTCTAGGGTATAAAGCCAGAAATCACTTGACATCAAGAAAAGTTTAAAATTTTATTATTATTTTTGTTTGTTTTTGTTTTTTTAATGCCATGTCTGTAATGTTAGCATATATCTATATATATATATATTTTTTATTATTGAGGTAACATTGCATTATAACATTATATACAATTTATTCTTAAATTTGTTATTTAATATTGTTTATTCAAAGGATAGTCTTATGTTGAATCTAATGGGTATTTGCTTATTTTATTCTTTCATAAAGAGCTTCAAATTCTCCTAGGAGAATATCATGTTTTTATTTTATCAAAAGTATTTACCTAGGATCTCGTTTTTTAGTCATTTAGGGAAAAAAATGCTACATGCAGGCTTTGGGGTATAAGTTATATGCTTTTATCATTGGTCTGATTTTTTTTTAATTTTTGGACATCTTTGAAAGTATAAGTGCATGTCTGTCATCTTGGAGTTTTGTACCATCTCTTGCAGCAGGAAGGAAGGAAGAGGGGTTTTACAGAAGCATATATGTCCTAGGAAATTGGCCAAATCAAATTGTATTTGCCTTTGTAGCTTACCAGAGTTTTATGTATATAGTGCTTTCCAAATTTGGCAAAGAAATTGGGAGGCCTGGATGTGAACTTCCAAACTTACTATCTTATGAAACTAGTGGGTTGTTTGTTGCTATGTATTCTTGTTTATAAGTCTAGTTGACAATATGTCTGTCTCCTAGAACACAGAAGGGTACTTGTAATACACTGAATCTTTAAGAGTCATAGAGAAACAATATGGAATTAATAACTGTGGCTCCAGTTAACAGGGTTGTGTGAATGATTTAAATTAGTTTTAGGAAAAAAAAAAAAAAACAAACAGTGTAAGACCTGGCAAATGTTTAGTTGAGAATACTGATGTATTCAAACACTTTAGTTGAGAATACTGATGTATTCAAACACTTTAGTTGAGAATACTGATGTATTCAAACACTTCAAAATAGGAAAGAAATAAATGTTTTGCAATTGACATGGAAGAAATAGATTTAGTCCTACAACTCAGGAACGGTGTAGAGACATCCAAATTAAAACAAAACAAAACAGAATGTTAAAAAATGTATGCAGATTTATGGATATAACAATGAGAAGACTTAGCATGTTACTTCTCCTATAGCTCTACTGTCCAGCATGTATTGTTCCAAATATGACTCCCTAAAATATATAATCTTTGCAGAAGCTCTAGGCCCTCACTTCAATGACCTTGCCATTGGTTGCTGTATTCTTTCAAGGTCAATGTAGTCTCCCTCACTCCACACAATCATTATTCCTCAATAGTGGTTTGTGTCCTTCACCAAGTGTTTTATTTATGTTTTCAGGAAGTTAGCAGAAAAGAAAATGGAGGAATTTGCCTCATTAGTCAAAAAGAGTAAAAGTTATGCATCTAGACAAGGATTTTGAATATCTATTTGCAAGAGATATTTGGAAAGTAGCAAATAAATTTAAAGTATAAAAAATCTAAAAAGAAATGTTGCTTATCTAGGAAAAGAACACTCATAAAAAAATTCAAATCTGGTTGTGCATTTCTCCTTGTCATTCTTGATTCAACTTGACTATATAGGCACCTGTTACTTCCCCAAAACCAAATTCTAAGCAACAGGCATCATTTTCTTAAAAAAATTAAGACTGTGTAAAATGACTCACAGGCTCATTTAGAATGAAATCACTTGAAGGTTTATGGTGGTATGCAGGTAGACACCTACACACACGCTTTAGTCATGAGCAAAAAAATTGGCAATTTCAAAAAATGTTATCAATTACATTGATGATTTCATGACAGAATACATTTAATGCAGGTAAATATTATGAGAAATGTTACAGATTTGAATCCCCAACAAAAATTTTCCCTCTATTTTTAATGGCTGCCCATCATCATATAGACGCATTTATCTCCTTGATAGATGTTTAGAAGCAGAGTTCCAATTTGTATATTGTTTTCTCCATATAGCTTAAGCAAGTGTTCACCAGAATAAAATGTTTTAGAAATTAGCTTTGTCTCATTTACAATTCAGATGAAAAAAATTAATTTAAATGAATAATTGGGAACTTCATATTTCTTGTACACATTAACCTGTCAAAAGCTGTAGTTTAGAACACAGGGTGAACATTTCCTTAACTTCTGTTTACTTTTTAAGTACATGAAACTTTTAATAGGAAAAGTCAGTATTCACTGTCTAGGCTTTAAAAAATTACCAAATATAAACATATAATTAATATGTGAGCCAGTTTAAATAGGTTTTTCTGTTTGTTTTATTTCAAGTAATATAATGCTATACTCTGATTTTCATCATTCCAATTTCTGGGTCTCAATTCATTCATCATTCACTCTCCTATAAGTGAAGTAACTTTTTTTAATGCATTGGAATTTTCTCAGGAAAAATACAATATTTAGTAAAGCTTTATAATCAGTTATATATATGTGAGTTAAGGCACATTTATTCTATGAGTCCTTATGTTAACATTTCAAAATTAATATGCTTAGAAATGAAAACAAAGCTTGAGAATCTCACAGTTTTCTGTTCAATACCTTGCCAGATTTTTAAGCCAGATGTTTGAGGTATAGAAACAAAATGGTGCTGAAGTTCCATTTGCTAATTCAGAAAATTTTGCACTGCAGGAAACCGCAGGACAGCAAGTCAACCTACAATCACAGTTATAGTTTGGGTTTTGAATTTTACATATGAATTTCATAGCACATGTTTAGCCACTCTAGATTGGCAACATCAAATTGGTTGAAACATCATCAATTTGATGCAAATTGTGAAATTTTATGGGCCTCATTTAATCCAGATTGCATTTTAGAAGAATTCTTCTATTTATGAAAATGATAATGTTGTGGATAAGTATTATAGGGGAGTAGGTGGCCCTGTGGTGCCACTAGCAAAAGATGAGACTATTAGGACAAGAATAAAGATTGAAGAATGAGTTATAGTGTACTGAAAAGTTTAAAGGTCCAAACTAGAGACCACTATTTCTTGGTGAAGAAGCGTGACTTCATCAACAGTAATTTTTTTCAATACAGACCCAGAAATAGCAAATCTACTCCACCTTCATGGCTTAGTCTACAAGGCCTTGCTCTGAGAAGGTTTTCCATGATGTTGCTTAATTTCATCTGCACAAGGTGAAACACATTCAAATATAAAAATTCCCTGCTCATTTTAATATCACTAAAGGCTGAGATTATTTCTCTGTCATAAAATGTAAATAGCATTTTTTAAATCAGAATCACATTTAAAAGAGTGGATTGTTCTACAAATATATATGTGTATATATACATATGCTTCTGAAATAAGGATATATTATATAGAGTTTTTATTTGATTTGTGGTCTTTAGTCATAGGTAATCAAATAATAAAGAGATTTGAATGCAAACTTTATATATAAATGTATATTTCTAATGATAGTATAAATTGCCACTTTATAATAAAAGAAGAAACAGGTAGGAATATAATCAAAGCACATGCTCCTTCAGAATTTCAGTGATTCTGATCCCCCCTCTTTGATGCACAGGTAACTATTTTTTATTTCTGAAAAGTTATCTTTAAAAGCTATACTTCCTGACACAGATTCCATGAGAAGTCATATATGTTGAAATTTTATGCTTGAAGGCAGGAAACCAGTGCTAAATGTAAATCTTTATTTTTCAGGATTTTTCCTGCAGCCCAAGTTAAAAACTTATTATTTATGATCTAAATTAAATGAAATTTGCTAATGGTCAAAGTTGATATACTGGGCCTCAGTAACAAACAAAAGCAAAAAATACATTCAACATTATGATAATAGCATTAAAATTATGTCATCATAAAAATGCATCATTAGATATTTTATTAGTTGGAAAAAATGATTTGATATTTCTTTGGCTTTGCTTCAAGCAAATGGAAAGCGAATAACATTCATTTATTAAAAGTTGCTCAAAAGTCCAAAATAGACTCCCACGAAGAAAATTGTTATTAGCTCCATTACAAGGTTAAATGATGCAATCTTAAGAAATTATTGACACCGAAATGTTTAATAAATATGTTGTATGAGAAAATGGACAAATTAATGTTTTGTTTTTGCATTAAATAACAGATTATTCAAATCATTGTTTCTGGAGATCAGATTTGTAAAATGTTTATACATCATAACCTTCCTGAAGTAAAAAGTAATTAAAATCTTGAGATGCTCATGCATGTAGACAAAATACTTGTACTTTTTTTTTAACATTAAACTTCTTTGGGAAGTCTCTCTTTTTGTTAGTGTGTTTGCCCTATGTTTCACTGAAAAAAGTGGTATAAATTATTTTAAAAAAGAAAAATGGATTTATGGATGGGAAATAAGTCAAGTTTTTGCACTGTACAAAGTAAACACTATTTTCTAAATATGAAACTACTGGTAAACCTAACACCTTTTTTTTTTTTCAGGGTAAGAACTATGGTACATTCATTTAAAATTCATAATTTACTAACTAAATTCTCAGTTGGGTTTAGTGATCATAAACTACAATCTCAAAATATCCAAGAAAGGCAGAAAAATAAATAATGTAATACCTGCAAGTATCATACAACAGGCCTATTACTCATTGCATATACAACAATAAATGATGAGCAACAATGAGGCCTATAGCAAAGACAAATTGAAAAGAGACTAGATTACTGAACAATAAGAGGAAATATTTTGAAAGAAGTTGTGGATACTTTAAAAGTAAGATTTATTTGGAAAATATTTGTGAATGAAACAAGGGGAGAATATTCAGGGGAAGAAGTGAAAAAAACTGAGTTATGATGAATAAATGAAAAAATTATCAAAAGTTTGGACAATATACTTTTTGAATTTATTGGGGCCTCTATGTCTATAAGGATTTTTCTGGTTACTCATAGCAGAACCCCCTAACCAAACTGATACTTCATCTAGAGGTTTACCCAGTCACCATTGTGGCTTAATTTTTCTTTTGTTCTCTTAGCTCTGTCCAGTTCAGGATATAATAACTTCACTCTTGGAGTCACAAAATTTTTGATAAGTTGAAGACACGACATGCTTATATCATGTAGTCTCCCTTACAGTTTTTTAGAAAACATCTTTCCAAATCTCAATTTCCCAATTTTGGTCCTATGTCCCTATTTAAATGGAAGACTATATCCAGGAAATTGGAATGTTCAAGTCAACTAGTTTTGATAAACCAGGATTTTATTCTAGACTTGTAGGTTGCATGTATTTCCACAATGATGCAAGTCTGCATAGAAGAAGAGTGACTATTTGAATAAATTTCAGAGTCTGTTTATCAAGAAGTAATGGAAATGAATGTTGAGTAGCAAAAAATGGTAAATTTCTATTATCTGATAATAAGTGTATTTTCTCATTGGAATTTCTAAAAACCAGCAGAGAAATGCAAATATTGATGAAGTAAATTGACTGGCATAAACCATGGGAGACAACAAAAGCATGGACAATTCCATTCCTCAAGCATTATTAAATGCCTTCTTTGCAAAGGCACTGTGTGTGGGCCACTGAGGAAGAAATTAATACCTGCAATTTTAAAGAAAAGTGGTGCATTTGGTGACAAATCAATATAGCTAGTATGCCTAAGGTTTTAAATAATCATCATAGAATTAGAAAATGCAGCTTGATTATTCTAGATCAGATGTTTATACCATATCTACCTTTTCATACTCATGAATATGCTCCTAGAATTAGGCCTTTATAAAATGTTTCTCAAAAGATTATTCAAGTAGTCACTCTTTGTCTTAAACTCAGAGAAATTTGGGACTTCAAAATCACCGGGAGCAGTTATATGTGCCATTCTTGAATTTTCTCTGCAGATTATAGCTTATGTTTGAACATTTTGGGTGATGGTAAAATATATTAACCTCCCAAAGCAGCTATACCATTTGTGGGAAATATTGGTTTTATAAA